GGCCCCTCCCTGGAGGGGCCTATGGGGCGGACATCCTGGGGGTGAGCGACCAGGTCCTCCTAACCATGAGGCGGCAGGCTTTCAAGACTGTGAGGCCGTTTGCCAAAAGCAGGTCTCTCACGGCGGTCAGCCTGCTGTCGGAGGACCCGTGCTGGCGAGCTGCTTCGGCTCCCATCCTCCGTTGGAGCAAAGAGGTCTGGCTGGCCCAAACTCGCGAGTTCCCTTGGTCCATTCCTCATAGGGAGCTCCGAGACGGCTTCAGGAGTGTGTTTGCGCTGCCTAGGGTTACTTGGCCTACTGTTAAGGGCCCCGTGTCTGCCCTTCGCCTTACCCTCCTTCGCCTCGGTTGGACCATGGTTGACTATGCCACTATCTTGGACGACCGAGGTTATCGTTTGCAGCTCGGCCTGATTCCCCCCGAGTTGTTGGAAACTATGTGCAAAGAGGCCTACATGCGTGGGCTCGAGCGGGATCTTGGGGGCAAATGGGGGCTGGATTGCAGGGCGTGTCTGGACATTCCCAGAGCTGCTTGTGTCAGTAAGAAGTTCTCTCCTGCGCAGAGGGGCTGGATTCGGGCTTGCTCTTGTGATGCCATCTGGTCTGCGGACAAGGCCTTGGCATGTGGGTATCAGGTAGACCCGCTTTGTCCTCTTTGCTCTGCTTCGCCCGACTCAGTGTTTCACAGGCTTTGGCAGTGCACGGCGACGGAAGTCCTAGAGTCGCGGACTCAGCTGGTCCCGGCCTCAGTTGTGCAAGATGCCATCGCCGTGTGGACAGCTCAGGCGGAACCCGACCCTCATGTGCGAGCTCTTTATACCAGAGGAGCTTTCGCTCATCCCGCCGACGTGTTGCCGCGTCCTGTTGAGGAGGGAACGAATGCCCTTCAGTTCGTTTGGCATTGTGACGAGCTTCCTAGCCCTGAAGGTCCCAGGGTCCCAGTGAACGGGGAGATGTGGGGGCACGTCTTTATAGATGGGTCCTGTCAGCGCCACCCGATCAAGGAATTGTCTAGAGCTGCCTATGCGATTACTATGAATGCTGAGGATGGCACGTGCCTTGGAGAGGCGAGAGGCCCTGTCTGGGCTCATCTTCCTCAGACGCCTCAGGCGGCTGAATATGCTGCCAGATGTGTTGCCGCACAGTTCTTGGTGTTGCCGACCACTATTTATTCGGACTGTGCGAACGTTGTGTCTCACAGCACATTGCCCTTGCCTGAGAGGTACTCGGGCAAGAGGTCTTATTCAGGAATGATCATGTGTGCCAACAACTTTGAGGGCCGCCTTTTGGAAGGAATTGTTAAGGTCAAAGCTCATTTAGATGTGCACCAGGAGGGCATCTCCGAGAGAGAACGTTTCCTCAGGCGTGGAAACGCTGATGCGGATGTGGGGGCTAAACATGCCCTTCAGCTTCACCCATCAGACCCGACCGAACTTGCCAATGTGGACAAGCTTGTGGAAGCGGCCAGGGGTTATTGCATCCTTGCTGCTAACTTGCTTCCTCTTTGGCCTGAGCTCTCTCTCGACGTTCCCTATCTCCCTCCTCCTCCTGCTGGGCATTTAAGCTCCCGCAGTAAGGTTGGCCATCGTTGGGAAGTCTGGGCTGACGTCTGGAGGTGTGCGGTGTGCCTCCGCGGGAACAGGGGCTCGTCTCGGCCCCCCCCTGGAAGGTGCCCCCAGGATTCCAAGCTGCATGCGGCTAGGCAAGATGCCCTTGGGCATAGGACTGTTGCATTCGACTGTTCTGACAAGACAGTGCTTTTCATATGCCTTAAATGTAAATGCCACTCCACAGGTGGCAGGATTAGAGGCCTAGGCGAAGTTTGCAAGAAGCCCACCCGTGCGGGCCGTCAGGGTTGGGCCGCCTTGTGCAAGGGTATTCACCCGCAGTACTCCAAGTCCAGCAAAGGTGTCACAGTTGATGACACCTCGCTTGTGCGTTGCTTCAACTCGTATTTGGTTTCGAATCCTCAATTTTCGGAGGAAGATGTTTCTAGCTCTGTGCCCTCTGGCCCGTCTGGCAGTGCGGCCAGCGCTGGAGGGCAAGAGCGTCCCAGCTTCACAGTTCCAGCTATTGCAGCCACTGCCTGCGCTCATGCCAGCAGCGTTGCGCCCAGCTCTTCCTCGAGTGATGTGGTCGCCTCGGCCTCAGCCACCAGGGAGTGCTTGAATCGCATTGCTGCGTCTCTCCGCTGCGAAGCGGAAGACTTGGGAACGGGTGGGACAGTGGAGGTGGGGTCGGGAGATTCGGATTGAATTTCAGTGTTCTCGCCTGCCTTTCTCTTTTGGCAGGGTTGAACCTGTTGTTCGTGCGTTGGCCTTCGGAGCCTCTCCTTACTTTCAGTTTCTGTTCTCAATCTTATCCTCGGCCGTGCTTTGCTTCCTGGGCTTTCAGGCTGTTGTGGCATAGGTTGCTGCCCGCGACCTAAGCGGCGACCGCCTGTCCGCTTAGGACGCTCTCCGCGTTGCCGATTTTTGCCAGTTGAGGGTCAGCTGGTGCCTGTCCTCGCCTGTCCGTCGCCTCTGTGACAGGCTTGGCTCTTGTTTGGCGAATTTATTTCTTTTTGTGCACTGTCTCTGGCATGTCTGGCAGACAGTGGGAGCCCGAGCCGAGGGTCGATCCGTGCGGGGAGGGGGCCATAGTGGGCGCTCCGAAAGGAACTCGCGAAGCCCCCTCCCCAAAGCGGCTCTCGCCGAGGCGAGGTCTTTCAGTGCTGGCAGGTCCCGCCCTGCCAGTTCTCTGCACTATGCGGTGGGTCCGTGGAGATCAAAAAAAAAGGCCAGGGGCCGCCCCGCGCGCCCGAACTAGAAGAATTGTGAACCAGTTACCAGAGATTTTAGCACGCCTCTGGCCCGTTGGGCCGGCGAATTGCGCGCCGTGGGGCTGAGCATCTGATTGCGGGCTGCTGCGGAGCAGGCGTGCACAGGCGCGCTGCATTCCGTGTGGGGCACGATCTACATGAAGGGGGGCGCCGAATAATGCAGATGCCTTCGCGCGAGCCCGCGGCTGCAGGTGGAGCTCCATGTGGGGCACGGCCCGTGTGAGGCATGTGCCAGCATTGGCGGAGGGGCGCCATGCGAAGCTGCCCATTAGGGCCATAGGTGGAGCTCGTTCCAGGGCACGATTCGCGCGAGTAGTGTGCCGACATGGGTGGAGGCTCGATTTGCAAACCTTGTCTCTGGGGCTGTAGGTGGTGCTCCCCGTTGGGCACGTTCCGCGTTAGAGATGTACCGCGATGGGCCGGGGGGCGCTATGCAAACCTTGTCTCTGGGGCCGTCGGTGGAGCTCCCTGTGGAGCACGGTGAGCGTGAGAGGTGTGCCGAAGTTGGCGGGGGCTGGCGGGATGTGAACTCCCTGCAGAGCACGATCCGTGTGAGAAATGCGCCGACGTTAGTGGGGCGACACTATGCGAAGCTTCCCCTTCAGTGCAATTACCTGCGGGGCAGTGCTATCCGCGTGAGCGCTGTGCCGCTATGCAATGGGGCCGTAGGTAGAGCTCCCTGTGGGGCACGATCCCTGTGAGGGATGTGCCGACATAGGTGGCGGGCTGTAGATGGAGTTCCCTGAGGGCATGATCCGTGCGAATGATGTGCCGAAATAGGCGGGGAGACGCTATTCAGATATTTGTTCCCACGATAGCGCAGGTGTTCCCACGTGGTGATCGTGGTGGGATGGCGTGCGTACCCATCCGCTGATTGATGTGAGGCTGGCTTTGCCTCGGCTAGAACATAAGTGCGCGAAACGTGCGTGCTTTTCTAGTGATGATATGTGGTGCAACCTATGTGGTGCTGACTACTTGCTACAATCGATGGCGTGCCAGATATGGGTGCGTTCAATGTGTTGCAAAACGTGGGCGGCGATAGTTGTATGCATCCAGAAACGCCAGCCGCCGCATGGGGCGCGCCCGAGTCGCCCGAGGGCACCCAACGGGCGAAAACTCGGAACGTCCAGCCAGCGCACAGGGCGCCCACGAGGCGCCCACGGGCTCCCTTCGCACAAAAACCTTGAACACCGAGCCAACGCACGGGCGCCCACGAGGCGCCCATGGACACCCACCGGGCCCAAACCCGGAACATCAAGCGAGTTTCAGCACTACAAACTGAGAATACCTAGGTGCAGACCTTGGTTTGGGAACTGGGGCTCGTCCGGAAATTTCAACTGCGGCTCCCGCCAAGAAACACCCATAAGGCTCTAGCGTGTCAATCGGGCATCGCAACGTATTGCAGGCACCGTAAGGCACTATCGACAGGTACCACCCATGGAGCAGCAGGGCGGCAACCAGCAATCGCAACACATGGAGCGTAACATATTTGAGCGTCGTATGTATCAAGGCACGGGGTACCACCCATGATGTACCAGGGCGACAGCCGCCAATCGCAACGAAGTGGGGTATTACAGGGCACCGCCCGTGGATCGCCAGGGCGGCACCGAATACATCAAATTCCTTCCGAAGCATGTGCGAAACCAAAGTGCAAACATCATTTAGGGAAGAATGAAGATCAGGAACATTACCACTACCAGCTATTGCGTAATCGTTCGTTCCGCTGTGCATAGGCGGATCAAAAAAAAAGGCGGAGGAGAAGGACGAGTGGATGGAGGAGGAGGAAGGGCATGTCGCGAGAGGTCTTGCACTCGGTGCCGACGGACCGAGCGGGCGTCGAAGGTCCCTGGTTTGTTGCCTCTGCCGCGTGGGCGCGAGAGCACCCCCATCCATCTTCTTCGTCGTCGTCCTCCTCCGTTTCCTCCTCCTGCGAGTTACGGCGTTGAAGCGGCGGGGATCCCGGCGCGGGCGTTCAATGTTGAAGGCCGCCAGTGGCCTGGAATCGGTCGATATCGAACGACCTGCGCAATCAGAAAGCCGTGATTGTTCAAGGTTTGACGATCCGCGCGGTGTCAGGAATCAACGTTGACGTCGTCACGATCTTTCCCTTTCATGGTCCTCCTCATGCTGCTGTGCTGCTGCTGCTGCTGCTCCTCTCCTGAGCGCGAGATCATCCGGGCGCAGCGCCCAAGACCGCCCCTCGCGCCCGGGCCGCTGCTGGAAGCCCCGAGCCATGTCGAGCAAGTTCGCCAAGAGCTTCCAGATCCCGCCGGACCTCCATGGAGGAAGGAAGGAGGAGGAATGGACGAACATGGAGGATGGGGATCAAGGAGTTCGATGTAGAGGACGAGGACGGGGAGCAGGACGAGGAGGAGGACAAGGAGGAGGACGAGGAGGAGGAGGACGAGGAGGACTAGGAGGAGGAGGACGACGAGGAGGAGGAGGAGGAGGAAGAAGAATAAGAGAAGCAGGATGATGGACCGCGATGAGGAACGAGGACGGATTAGGAGGCGTGCAGGGCATTGGCACGTGGTTTGTGATACCAATTGTATTGAGTGGCTCAGAGCAGGGTGATGGTCATAACGGTGATGTTGGTGGTGATGATGATGATGCTGATGATTGAGATGATGATGCTGATGATGATGACGATGATGATGCTGATGATGATGATTATGATGACTGATGATGACTGATGATGATGACGATGATGATGCTGATGATGATGCTGTTTCTGGTGATGAGGATGCTGATGATGATGATGATGCTGATGATGATGATGATGCTGATGCTGATGATGATGATGAATATGATGATGATGCTGATGATGATGATGGTGGTGGTGATGATGATGATGACGATGATGATGATGATGGTGATGACGATGATGATGCTGATGATGATGCTGCTTCTGGTGATGATGATGCTGATGATGCTGATGATGGTGATGATGATGATGATGGTGATGGTGATGATGATGATGATGATGATGATGATGATGATGGTGGTGGTGGTGGTGGTGGTGATGATGATGATGACGATGATGCTGATGATGATGCTGATGATGATGATGCTGATGATGCTGATGCTGATGCTGATGATGCTGATGCTATGCTGATGATGATGATGATGAGATGATGATGATGATGACGATGGTGATGATGCTGATGATGATAATGGTGATGTTGATGTTGATGATGTGAATATGATGATGATGATGCTGATGAGATGATGATGCTGATGCTGATGCTGATGATGATGATGATGCTGATGATGATGATGATGATGGTGGTGGTGGTGGGTGATGATGGATGATGATATGGTGAATGATGATGATGCTGACGATGATGATATGATGATGCTGGATGATGATGAGATGATGAATGAGATGACGATGACGATGACGATGATGATGACTGATGATGATGATGATGATGATGATGATGCTGATGATGATGAATGCTGATGCTGATGAAGATGATGATGGATGATGCTGATGATGATGATGCGATCATGATCATGATGATGATGATGATGATGATGATGATGATTGATGATGATGATGATGATGATGACTTGATGATGAGGATGCTGATGATGATGATGAATGATGATATGATGATGTGGTGGTGGTGGTGGTGGTGGTGGTGGTGGTGATGATGATGATGATTATGATGATGATGATGATGATGATGATGATGATGATGATGATGATGATGATGATGATGATGATGATGATGATGATGATGATGATGATGATGCTGATGATGGTGGGGGTGCGTGCACGGGCATGATTCGCGGGGAGTGGGGTGTCGTAGCGTCAGCAGCAGAGCGGTGCAGCGTCGCTTGCTTTGCAGCCCCTTTTGGTTCAGGGCGACATGTTCGTCCATGTCCCGCCGAACCTCCCTGCTTGGGCGATTCTCGGTTGCAGGTAGCCCACCTCGGCCAGGAGTACGTGTCTGAGGTGGCCTGGGAGCGCGAGGCCGCCATATCGCGCTCGGCGGGAGGATCACCGCCCGCTCCCGTACCCGAGGCACCCTCGGGACCGCTCGGCCTCGAGCCGACCTGGCCGTCCGTCGAACCGCTGGAGTGCCCAGTGGCAGAGGCGGTGGAGGAACAGGACACGCTGGCCTGGAGCTGGTCGCTCGCCTGGTGGGTCGGGCACGTGGCTGGAGGCGTGCTGTGACGGCTCCGCCGCGAACAGCGCCAGGCCGCGCAGGCCGAGCACACCAGCGGAGATGGCGGCCGTGCTCGTGCTTCTGCGCCTCGCCGCAGGGGAACAGGAGTTCTGGACTAGGGCCGAGGTCGGCTCCAGAGTTCGCGTGAGCTACAACGACGACGGCGTGGACCACGAGAGTACCCTGGCGCATCCAGGACCTCGACAGCAGCCAGACGGCGCGGAGCCTGTCGACGCTACTATGTGGTGGGTGCTCCCGCCTGATGGGGGTGACTGGAAGGAGCAGTTGGACGGGCGGGACCCTCAGCATGGTCCTAGCTGTGCTCGGCCACTCTTGGCTGACGGCTACCCTGCCACGGGCGCGGTGGCTGGGCAAGTTCAGGGGGCGCCCCTCGCTCGACGAACTTTTGAAATTGGGTAAGGGATGCCGTGACATCGAGACAGCTCGTGGCCAGGGTTTGGGTGATTGGCCTGAGTATGCGCTCGACGAGACAGTACGTCGCCACGAACTTGCCTCTCTCCTTGCTGGACCCGTCGCTGCTGTTCATGCAGGTGGGGCCGGCGCCCCTTCTCCTGACAGTATTTGGGTGCTGGTGGAACCGTGCGGTAGCCAGAGTATGAGCGAGGAGTTAAAGATGAATGCCTCCGACGTCACCTGTCGACGGGACGGCCTGGAACTAATTCGGGGCGAGGTGATTTGGGTGAAGAAAATCGCAGTGGCTGATGCTTTGAGGTTCGCCAGCGCACAGGTGTCCCGTTTCCATTGTGGTCTCGGAGGCTATGATGATGCAGTTGTTCGTGCGGCGGAGAATGAGGCGGGAGGACGTCTGGGACTCGAGGGAGTTGACAGATGCTGGTGGAGGAGGCCGTGCGCCAGGGGGCCGTATGCCAGCTGGACCTGCGGAGGACACGCGCACCTTGAGCATGGGCTTCGACGGGCGCGGCGAATGACGCAAAGACTGGAGGACGGTGGTGAATGAGATCTCGGCGGAGTCTTGCGAGGGCGACCCGGTCGAAGGTCCAGTCTCAGTGGTGTTCGAGCGAAGGCCATGTACAAGAACGGCGGGGGCCCGATGGGGCGGCTCTCGGAGCGGTCGCGGGAGCACCGCGTGGGGCGCCAGGACCGCCTTTTCCACGAGATGGATGTGCTGTGCCATAGCCTGCAGCTGGCAGGCAGCTGCGATCAGCTGAACGTCGGCGGGCTCCGCTGCATGGAGAGGCTGGTGAGGCGCATTCAGGTGATCACGGGCGCGTGCTCGGAGCCGGGCGCGCCTGCCAGTTGGCGCATGGTTCGGTGCCGAACAGGAGATTCAGGTCCAGGCGACGCGGCCGCCCCCGAGTTGAGGAGTTTCGGAGATCGACGGGCCAGGAGGGGCGCGGAGTTTCCCAGCGCAGCGGGCCGTTGACGACCCGAGCAGACTTCCGACGCTGGCGCTTCGGGGAGCGGCCGATGATGACGCGGGAGTTCGCCGTTGGAACTGGCCCAGCCAGCGGCGTCAGAGAGATGGGGCCCCCCGGGCTTCCGCCCAGGGGCGGGGCTCGCGACAACTCCCCGCTGCCCCAGGGGGGGCTGCCGCCGAGCCAGGAAGGGGTCAGGGCGGAGTCTCGATCGACAGCGTCGGTGACCGCTTTGCGGTGCTCTTTTAGACGAGGCGATTGATGGCTTCTACTGGCTGGCAGGAGGCGACGCGGGGTCATCCCCCTCCCCGCCGCCAGCCTCGCAGTTCGACGTCGCGCAGCGCGTTGAAGGGCAGGTGGGCAACGTCGCGCGTCCGATGCGAGGCGAAGTTCTACAGCCTCCTCATGCAGCCTTGCGAGAGTTGATGCGTGGGAGGTCACCCTATGATGGCGGCCCTCCCCAGGATGTGCTCGACCCTTGCCAACCTGGACTGCCTACGCTTCCCGAGGGCGTCGCCGAGGCCCCAGCGCTTCGCGAACTTCTGCGGAGGCGGGCGCGCCAGTGCGTGGAGGTGCAGGGCGAGCGCATGCTGCGAGACCGTGAGAGCGCGCAACAGGCGCCGGGGCGTTGCCCGCGAGCGCCTTTCAGCGAGCCTTCGCTGGTGCGGAGCCGGCGGCGGCGCGGCGATTTGGCCGGGGATCTCGGTCGACGCGGGCCAGCGTCGTTCACGCGCCAGGTCTCGGAGATGGCGGGCATCTTCTTTGCGAGGGAGAACGGGGAAGACGCGTGTGTTTTTAGATTGTCGTCGGAGCAATGCTTGGCTGATTTGACCTCCACCTGTTCGGCTTTTGACTGCCGGGGGGCTCTCGGCCGTCGAGCTCGAGGAGATGGGGGGGGCTAGCGACCACCTGCAGGCCGCCTCCATGGCCGCGCTGGAAGAGGTGGAGTTCTCGGCGGGGGTCGCCGACGTGAAGGGCGCCTTCCATCGTGCGCGACTGCCCCCTTGGATGAAGAGGCTCTTCGGGCTGCCAGGGCTCGAGGCCAGTGATCTGCAGCTGCGCGGTGCCGAGTTGGAGGGCCATCCTCTGAGCTGCGACGACGTGCTCTACCCTGTCCCTGAGGCGGCGCCGATGGGATGCGCGCGGGGCCTCTACCCGTGCCGGAGCGCGACCGAGCTCCGGTGCCAGCTCGCGCCGAGCCTGCGACTGCGAGGGGCCCGGCCCTTGAGCGACTTAGTAAAACCGCCGGCGCCGAGGGTCGCGGCGGGCCCAGAGCAGGAGGGGCACTGCGTGCGCGTCGACAGCGCGGGCGTGATCGAGCAGAGTGGCGGCCGCGTGAGCAACGGCCTAGACGAGCTCGCCCAGGCCTTTGAGAAGGTGGCCTCAACGCGCGCGGACGAGAGGCGCGAAGCGATGGCGTCGAGGTGCTGGGCGTCGTCTTGGACGGGCGAAGGCTTCAGGCCCAGCCGTCGCGGAAGAGGCTCTGGGTGGCGCGCCCGGCGATCACCTGGGTGGTGCAGTTGCGGGCGGCGCGGAGAGGCGACCTTCGTTGGGCCATTGCGCGTGCCTGGGCATGGCGCGGCGCCCCGTGCTGTCGGCATGTCGCGCATGTTCTCGCTTCGTCACTGACGTGAACGGCGAGCCAGCTCCACTTTGGGAGACTTGTCGGGGTGAGTTGCTCGCCATCCGTGGGTTGCTCC